TGTTTTGTTTTCTTTGTTAATAAATATATTGTTATATGAAAGCTCTGAGTCTGTGGTCGCTGTGAGTATCCATGACATCACACTTAGTACACTTGGCAGACTCGCGTTGGACTCGTGGACTGTTGGAAGCTCTACTCTTCGAAGGCCCTTTTAGTCGTCTAATAACATACGTGGTCCTTTCGGTAGCAACAAGCCGTAAGCGGCTATTGAAACTTCCCACTTTTCCGCACAGCACGACTGGTATCGGGAGGCTATGGGTATGTGACAGTCGCGAGCGTCCTGTTGCGTATTGACCCGCAAGATATCACGTAACATCAAGATTGAAACTGAGTGTCATCAGTAAGGTCCCCATTCTGAAAAAAATCTGAAAAAAATCAAAAAGTTTGTGTTTTAAGAAGAACTTTTGAGACTTTTTCGAGCCTGTGCCAGGGTTCTAAGACAGTAACAAGTTTTTTGTACTTTTTTTAAGCTTTGCGTTTCAATTTGGCGCTGAGAAAATATCAAAAAAATGTTTTTCTGATAGTATAAATTATTTGGTTATTTTTCATATTTTTTCAAACATAAAATAGTGTTAAGTTGACGAAAAAATTAAAATCAGAAAACACGTTTCTGGCAGTAGAGGAATGTGAGCGGTGGACGGGAGCTAAGAAATCTTTCAAAAATATTATGATTGTATTAGAATTGTAGTGTAAATACTCTTATGCCATTTGGTTAAAGGGAACTTTTTAACATCTTTTGCGATGGGACCCTTAGCCCCCAATACATGATCCGAAATCCCGCCTCTGCACCTTTGTTTGTCTCGTCACGAAAAGGAATCCTGTTTCCAACGCGATCTCAACATTGAACTGACAGTCCTCCCTCCACGTCCCGTTTCCTTTTGCGAGATTGACCGGGTCTTTACATCAGTGTTGAGTCTCTCTCAAATAAATTCATGTTCAATTTTTCGAAGGTACGAGCAGATATTGCATATTTTGGCGTGAAACATAGGCAATTTTTAAATATTAAACAATTATTTTTTCAAAAACTGACTCATATATAGGAAAGATCGGGGAAGAAGGTGATGGTGGTTCCAGTTTTGGCAATCTCTCAAAACTTGCAAAAAAATTCGGAATTGTAAATTCAAATTTCCTGCACCTTGTTTAATGCTCTGACAGTTCGCAAAACAGCAACACGGCGGTTTAAAATTCTTAGAAATTTTCATATTGTTGGTCGTGATGGTCGTATGATGTAGATGGAATTGTTATGAAAAGAAATAGATATTAGGAAGATAACACATTTAACGTAATAGTCACAAATACACTTATTTTACTTTAAACAGTTTTAAACGCAGGTTATGGTGTTAAAAAATTGGCAGCTCGCTTCAGAGAAATCAAAGAAAGCTTGTGTGATATTATTCAGATTGTTTTTCTGTATAATGTGGTGCAAATACAGTGACAGTTAAATTTATTCATATGTTTGTTTCGTTTGTAAAAGTAAGAAAAGACATCTGTTCCTGACTACCGAAATAAATGCACATATGCAGCACAGGTGCTTCGTTTAAATTTGTTACTGGACATTTTCAAGTTTCAGCCAGGAATGTCATGTAAAATGGTAAAATGTTACGAAAATATCATGAGTGTGTCATTGTAGAACAATGGAAAATGCTTGCCATCTGTTCATTATGTGCGTTAATGCTAGATAAAATAATATAGCACTAAAGAGAAAAGGGGTTACTCTTTCAATGTTAATACGGCTTAAAAATAAAAAAAAGCTGCCATACGATAGAAGACAAAATAATAATTTAAGTATTGAAAGTAAAAGTAAAAATAAAAAACTGAAATCTATCAATTTCACACATTTGCTTGAAAAGTAAAGAAACAAAGACATTCATTTTGAATATTTATTGTTTTAAGAGTTTCTTCCAGGACGCAGATATCTTTCCATCCATAAGCTTTCCATTCAACTTTTCTGGATACATTTTTCAGGAATAAGAAGATGTGTATTGTGTGTAAATGTATCCATAATGTGTCACGCGATTTGAATGACGCGCGCTGTAGCGTCTCACAATATTGCCGAATTGTGCATTACTGTTCTGATGTCCCGACCAAAGAGTACTATGCAAACAGCATCAAACAGGACTACATGAGCGCTCGTGGCTCCGACCCTCTGGAATACACATAAACGGCAAACTTCGGACTTGTTTTTATTTTACCGAATTCTTCCATTTAAAGCGGAAGGTATCCATCAAATCCCGTTCGTTGATTCTTCACAGTTCTACCTACCTAATTTTCTCCTAATTTTACAATTCCTGTTCGGCTATTCCACCATAAAAGCACGTGTTAAAAGGACACACTGTACGGCTTTATTACCAAACAACAACAACAACAACAACAACAACAACAACAACAATAATAATAGTAATAATAATAATATTAATAATAATAACAACAACAACAACAACAAGCGGTGAATTCGATTCATATTCTACCAGTGCTTGGAAAAACCTCTCGTCTTTCGATTAAAACTACAAAAAGAATAGCGTCACATTTCTCGCTCTAACCAACTTAAATAATTAATGTTGAAAAAAATGTTTCTCTAAGAAATGTCTCTATCCTCAATATTGTAGTTGTAGGCACACGCCGAAATAAATTTAATTATTTGCAATTTTCGAATATTTAGAGAGTTTATCGAATATTTGTTCTGTGTCTATTTTATAAAATTACTTTGCTATATCCGAGGAAAAAAAATCATCAATTAAAAAGTTTCGAGCCATTTTCAAAAACTTTTTTAAACATGGTTGTGGCTTTTTATGTTAAGACACACACACATTCCATGTCAAACTTCGCAAATCCTCCAGTTCCGCCAGAACGATCGGGCAATATTAATTTTGCAGGAAATCGTCTGAACGGTACAGGAGCAGTTAACCAGAGATGGACAGACGTTTCGCCGGCTTTCGATTTTTCGGAATCTAGGAACCACCAAACATGGCTTCTGATTGCACTTTACGTAATTTACTACGCATAGGAACAAGGTTTATCTATTTTCGTTACCAGAACCCGGAAATTTCTGAGAAATCGCCATGCTTCTCGCAGCTTTACAAAACCTTGTTTATACTGCGTAAGTAAGCGAGAGAGTAAAATTTCTCAAAAACGGCTTTAAAATGAATGGGGGAACAAAACGGTGTAAGTGACATTTTGAAACTTCCGAGAAAACGTGTTTATTTTAGGCTATATTTCAGTTGAAATGTATTTTCGTGGTTTTAATGAACAATTGAAATGCCGTGGTTTCAATGATGAAACAATGTATCACGACTTTACAGTGATATTGACTTAAAGAAAGAGATTTCTCAGAATTTATAAAATGTCACTTATACTGTTCTGACTTTCACCTATTCAATTATATCTTAATTTTTTTCTATTGATAGAACAAGGGACGCTTAAAGGAATGGCGGGGCTCGTAGATTCTTTGAACTCTTAATTTTCGTAAATTGTAAAAGTTGACATTACATAAGTTCAATATTGAAGACAGATATTGTTGGCGCTCATAAGATGTATTCTTCAAAATTAGATATTTTCCCCTGTTTTTCGGCGCACGATTATAATACTTCTTAGGAAGTACCTAAGGGCGAGAAACTTAAAAGGTTGTACAATGTTTTTGGGCAAAAGTGCAGTATTTGCGTAAATTCTCTTGAAATTAATGTAATTTTTTTAACCTAATGGTGCTCAACTGCACATACTTTCTCGCATTAATTCGAATATTTGAATTTTCAAATATTTAGTGAGTTCAACGAAAATGAAAACCGCGCTATTCTTTTAAGTGTCTCTTCTTCTATCCATGGAAAACATTTGAAGAAAAATTTGGAGCGTTTTTGAGTAAAACTTTTTTATATAAATTGCATTAAATTTAAGCGTAAGTTACTCGAAAACTACTATTTTTTCACAAAACTGTTCATGACCCTTTTTAACGAGCTAATTTTTTGCAGCAGACTTCGTCTAAGATGAAAATCTCTGTCTTCAATTTTGTAGTTTTGAAATGTTAATATTTTGCAATTATCATAAATACATAGTTCGTCGAAATTGAAACAAACATAATCTTTTTTACCGTCTCTTAATACATATGAGGAGAAAATTTAAAAGAAAAAAATTGGCGCCGATTTAGAGGATTTTTTTAAATTTAAAAATTGCCTATATTTCACGCGAAATTACAGGAAAACTATTCATACCGTACAAAAACACACCGAAGAAAGGTAATCCAGTAGCGAGTTGATTAACTCTGTTGAAAGTACTTTGAAATATGGCCGCCATATTTTTCGAATATCATGCTTGAAGCACTGAAATATAGCTCTATCGTTGTATTCAACGAGTTAGAGATATAACTCGAGAGTATCTCTAACTCGTTGGTTGTATATACTCTCTGATGCCCTGCACAGAAGTAAAGCTTCTTGAGCACTTTTCTTCACCGAAACAATATAAAAACTGTCAGTTTCGAAAGGATACGTTCCCCATCCACCAGTGTTGTAATAAAAATATGAAGTCAGGTGGACGTGAGGCATATCTATTGTGATTTCTCAATATATACAGAAGAAAAATTAGGGTTCTCGTATTATTGTTTAAAAAAATATGAATCATAATGAATCACCAACAAGAGAAATGTACTCTAATGTTTAATCAATTTCAGTTTTTGTATTAAATCAAATAAAACATTCATTTTCTTCTTCAGATGTCAGCCACTGATTCTTATTATTTTTAGGATACAGCTCTACTTGTACTTCTTTTGAGGCTCGCAGTCAAATTGTGATCGTTTCATTCCCTCATTATTTCGTAAATCTATTTTTCTTTAATTTTTGTTTTTTCTTCAATTCAATCTTTTTAATAAGTTGATTTGAAAATGGAAATGTTTTTTTAAAAAAATATCGCTAGTTGGATTTGCATCAAGAAAGAACAATCTGAAGCATTTAATATTCTCATTCATTGCTGACAGTTATTCACATTCTTCAGAACAGCTTAGTTTGTTGTGTTAGTGTGAACTTTAGCACTGAATATCCAACTTTTGGCAGCCGTAGGCAAATTCGGGACAGAGAAATGATGTTGCAACACTGCTGAATTCGCGGAGGAACTGGGGTGGGGGCGGTCAGTTGTGTGAGTGCAGGAGCCCGCAGGAGCCGGCGTGTGCGTGTTTGTGGTGGACTGCGAGCTGTACGCGTGGCAGCGAATGTAAGGTGTTATTGAGGTAACATAAATCGTGACAGACGCATGACAGAAATTAATTAATACTTTGTTCTGCACATAATGCTGTATCGTTATAATTAATTTTCATGCCGTAACAGGGTTGTCATTGTATGTTGTCTTGACATCTGAAGAAAATACAACATGGTTTTGGATTTAGACCTTTTCCGTGTTGAAAAAGGAGGTAGTGTAGAGAATATTCTGAAGAATCAGAAAAATCGTTTCAAAGACGTTGCCTTGGTGGAAACTGTAGTAGCAAAAGATAGTGAATGGAGGCAGTGTAAGTAACCTTAAATATTTCCATACGGAATATTATGCATCCATATTGTTATTTTAACTGATAATTCAATTTAATTTTTATACAAAATGCACTGTTTTCTTTTCTATGTGTCATAAAAATTGTAAAATAAAAAGTTTGTTAATCTTATATATTTTATTTTCAGTGAGACATGAACTGGATTATTTAAACAAACAGAAAAATGTATGCAATAAAGTAACAGGAGAAAAAATCAAGGTAAGCGCATATCTTCCCTTAAATTATGCAGAATTTTTAAACTGTATACTGTACTGACTTCTTATAAGAGTAATATTATTGTTGAAATTCATTTTTCTTTCCTGAGGTAATTTGTTTGCCTGATTATTGTAATCTCATTTATTTGTAATTATAATGAATGTGATTGAAAATAGACGTGAGATACGAAATCATAATATCAAAGTGACTTTTGACATGTCTACAACATGATTTGTAGTTTGTTTATGTACTTCATTTATAGGTATTTTGGGCTGTTCATATTGTAAAATTGAGGGGGAAATTTGTTAATTTTGATTTAAGTTAATTTTTTTGTATCTACTCTTGTACACTTGGGGATTGAAATGAGTGTGGATGAAAGAGGACTCTTCTAAAGAACTATAGAATATAAAAAGTTAATAACCGTTCTTGAGTTTTCAGATTGCTGGGTACCAAATTATTTTATGTTTTTGTTAGTTGCTACATTTCACATCTCTCAGATGCGCATCACATCATATAATGTTTGTGTTAAAAAGAAAACTTTTGTATATGAGTGACAATTTTATATTCCTTTTTAGTCTTTTTTGTTTCTTATCATATATTTTCATATTTAGATTTCCTTTTCACACCCACCCATTTCTTTGCTCAAAACCATGGCTTTAATACCTGGCTTTGTTTTTTTATAGATGTCAAATTTGCAAGTTTCCCACACCTTTAGATCCAGGGAGTTAATTATACATTTTTTCCCCTCCAAGTTTTATAGATTTTTCCTCTATAAAATATTTTAGCATTAACTCTCTTGCATGTTTGTTTTTTCTTCTTAGGCCTCTGCACCTGCTACTGGTGATGGTGATGTTCCAGATGAGCTGATTAGCAAATTGGAAAGTTTAAGTATTGATGAGTTTAGACAGCAAAGCGTACCACAGCTGAAGGCTCTCAGACAGATTTTTGACAAGAAGATAGTTGACAAAACTGAAGCTATAAAAGAAGCTGAGAAGATTAGATACAATGCTTTAAGAGAGGTTGGGAACATTTTGCATCCTTCTGTGCCAATCAGTAACGATGAGGTATGTATTTCTGCTTAAAGTTGTCTTGCACTATCAGTGAATTGCATCCTCCAATCCTTTCCCTTTTCTTTGCGGATTATAAAAGGATGGATACAGATTTTTAAAATTTATTGAAAAATATAGTGTAATAATTTTAATTTAGCCAAAGGCTTATGAAACCTGAAGTTCAAATGCTATTTATTATAAACTTAACATACTCAAATAATTGTCAATGTTCTATTTTCTTCATTTTCAGGATGAAAACAGAGTGGAGAGAACTTTTGGTGATTGTACACAAAAGAAGGCATATTCACATGTAGACCTCATTCTAATGATAGGCGGAATGGATGGCGAGCGGGGAGTCAGTGTCTCTGGAGGAAGATCTTACTTTTTGACGGTATGTGCTATGCCATAAACCACACCACGCGCGCACACACCACACACACACACACACACAAAATTTCTATGTCGAACCTTCTTACAATATCCTCTGAACATATTATTTTCCCCCAATTTCTTCACAACCTGTCACTGCTGGGGCATATTACAACCTTTGACTACATACTCAAGATAAAATGGAGTAATTATATAGCAACTACAGTCAGATGCTGCAGGAAACTATCTGTGAAGGTACCTGCATAAGATTCACATCCTGTACTATAACCTTCAATTGCTTTCAAATAAAACTGAATTTATCGAGGCTGTTCTACAGAGCAATTTATCAAATTCTGTACTTTACAGAACATCTCATGATGAACTTAGTATTTTCCAAATTCCCAACTTTTGTCTGGTAGGCTATTATTGTAGAGAAAGGGAATCCAATAAGGGTCCTATATATGGAGGTTCTTGTATTTACATTAGGAATGATATAGATTGTACCACTTTGATGGAAGTAAATGTGTGTCCAGTTGAAAATGTTTTTGAAATATCTATTGTACATTTTCCTACAATCAAAATTATCTTACTTTCCATCTACAGGCCCCCCAAAATAACATGCTTGAGATTACATGACCATCTGAGAAAGTCTAGAGTTAACTCTAAAGAAAGTCGGTGTTCTCTCTATTGCATCCATTTGCGGAAATTTTAACATTGATTTGCTAATGGAATCTTATAAAAAAAGAGTTTTTTCTCTATTTAATTAATTTCTTCAGTTTATATATTACAATAAATGCTGATCCGGTGGCCGAGATCGCTAAGGCAGTAGTGCCGTAGCGATCTCGTACCGAAGATTGCGGGTTCGAGTCCCGCCTCGGGCATGGTTGTATTGTGTTCGTCCTTTCACCCCCTATCATCCATCATCCTCCATCTCTCATTATCACCTTTCTGAATAACATTCAGAATTGTAACTCGAGGATTTATCCTCACCTCAAGGTGAAAACCTTCGACAGTCGACCATGAACAGTAAAAGTGAAGTGGAACGACTCAAGTGTTCCAATGTGGCCAATCAAGTTAATAATAATTACAATAAATGTACCTACACTGATTATACTTAATACAAAAATGGCAATTGATCAAATCATAAATTAACAAAACTACTATTAGATATGAAATTGCAAAGAAAGAAATAAAATACATTGACCACGAAGCACAAATTCTTTCAGTATTAAAAACTTGAGCTCAAACACCTTAAATAATACACATTATGTATAGATTGGTTGTTAAAAGTAAAATAAAATCATTCATAGGCCACTTGCTGCAGGAATCATGGGACGCTGTTCACAATACTCTCAATATGAATAACTAATATAATTATTTTTTTCTTGCATTTTTTCAATGTTTTTATTTTTTTATAGGTGCTTTAATCTTAACAAAAAATTAAACATTTCTCAGAAAAGCAGTACTTAAATTACACGAGAGATTAGAACTTGTGCAAATTTTTTCTTTCATTTTTGAACATCATAAGATATCTCATGATTTCGTACTGTACTTTCCAAAACATAATGAAACTTATAAATTCAAATCATTGTTGAGAAAAGTCAAAAAGCAGTATAAAATCATGAAACAATCAGGATATTTTTAACTCAAATAACAAAACAAAAGCAATGTGGAATATTGCAGAACATGTGACTACATCTATCAGAAACTTTACAGAAAATGTTATTTTACAAGATAATTATTGAGAAGTGAACGATCCGGAACAGTGACCTGTCTCTTCAACCAAAATAATTTGAGAATTGTTGTTGATCGCACAAAGGATCTAAAGCCATACAATTGAACACCACCTTGTCCCCCAAACCTTTTGATTTTATGTTTGCTTCCAAAACTTGTTCCTATAAAATTCTCAAAATAAGAGGAATAATTAAAAATAAATGTTCTGCTGATTTAGATGAATTTACAGATTGTTTGTTAAAAACTTCTGCGCCTGCATTTATACAACCAAATATGCATACATTTAAAGCATCGTTGTACACTATAACATGTCCAGGTATTTTCAAAAGTGCTAAGTGCTGTTCTTCAAAATTTGTAACAGAAATGGAATTAATAATTATTGGCCAATTTCTGTTTTTTAAGTGTTCTCAAAATATTACGAAGACTTTTCTTCGTACAAATAGAAACCTTTCACAGTAAATACAAAGTGATTTTGGACTGTAATCATAGATTTAGAAAATCAAATTCTATGGAAACAGCAATTCTTTTCTTGAAGATGTTGCTTCAGTGAATCAAAAAGATGCACCTACTGAAATATTTGTAGATAGTTTTGTGCATAATTAAATGTGTTTTGTTAAGTTCTCTCTCACCCATTTTATATTTTGCCAAGAAATTGGACTTCCTACTTGTATATTTTTTTCACATACACTTGATTTTATAATGATTTTATTCTGTTTTCTTTGTAACTATTGTTTTAGATTCTACAATATCTTCAAAATTTTGTTTGTCATTTTTTTAATTTTCAGAATTTTTAAAACAAGTCTATTATTTTTATTAAATGTACACACTTGAAGATATGGGTAACCAATGCACAAAACATCATTTATGGAAAATAAAAGACTTTTTTGGCGAAAAACATTCCTATTGATTGTCAAAACATGAAAGGACCTTGGTGTTTTATTATTAAAATTTTGAGGTCTCTCAAGAGCCTGACGTCATTGATCATAACATTTTACTTTCAAAATTTTGCTCTCTCTTTTTTTTGGTGTGTGTATGTGTGTGGGCGCGCGTGCGTGCAAAAATTTCTTGCTCAAGAGCAGGAACATATTTTCTACTGATACAGATCTATATAACTATAGTGCTTGACCTAGTAATTATATTCATCAGGTGTCAGTATCAACAGTTTGCTACAAAAAAATCACATACAATACATACACGTTATTTTAAAACACTGCCAAATGACATCAAAATTGATTTGCAGTTTTAAGTGCTTAGTAAAATCTTTACAGCTGCATAACTGTTGTTATACGATGTAGAGACTTTACTGAACATCAAAAAAGGAAAATAATATTGGTTGTAACAATGATATTTAATGAATTAGTTACCATTTTGACTATACAATTTTAAAAGACTAAATATCCCTGTACGAAGTGTTGTACCTCAGCTTCTGGGTCAATTATCTCATCTCTAACATTTTTCCAGTTTCCCTAAGGAAATGTGGAGATGGACCCTTGTTTTTCTTCTGGACATAAAGTGTTGCTTCACTATCTGTTCACGTTTTCTTAAGCTCTGTCGGGAATGTTGATAATAAAATAATCTTTCTCTATATTCTCTCTGCAGTATGTCAATTTCTTCACTTAGAACACAGGGAATAATACTCAAAATCTGAAGTTGATTTCCTTTTGCAAATAGTTTAATTACTTTGAAGCAAATATTTTCCTGCCAATTCTTACCAAAAATGCTCATTGCTATCTGTATACATATTTCACCTTAATATGAGTCATTACAGCGACCTCAGAGCTCAAGAAGCTGTGCACAAATTGCACTTCTCCCCTTAGTTCATTACACAGTTTTCAACTGTTTTTAGTATTAAATAAAAAATGTAGGTCCAACACCTTCAGTTAACAAATTAAATTTTACCCTGCTAACTTTATAGGTATAGAAGCAATTAGAAAATATAATAATGGAAAATATTACACTATTGTGGAACTTCTGCAAATCAGAATAGAATCTTTCAAAAAATAATAGTTTTGTTTCTCTTCAAACACTGATATTTTACTCTGTTTATCAAAAGCTCTGTTAAAGGGAGTTGAAAGTATCGGAAGGTATATCGCTGTGGTAACCGCAATAGATTGTATGTCAGAAAATTCACTTTTTTGTTTATTACACTATTGTGATCAATCTAGAGAACTGCAGCAGTTGAAATAGGTTGTAAGATGACGGACTAAGGAAAAATTCAATATCATGATTTTAAATTTGTGAAAGCAACTGACAAGACGGAAAAGTAGAGAACATTTTTCATTCCTCCTGAAAACTTTGGTAGATTTATCATACGACCTATTGCGGTTACCAAGACGATATGAAGTTATTACACAGTAATTGCTCTGCCTTTTAAAACTACTATTTTTCAAAATGGAGCATTGAAATTGTGAAGGGGTATGTGTCACCAAGTGTTCCCCAGAAATTCAGCACTGATGATGAGATGATGATAATGATGATGGTAATTGTTAATAACAATAATAGTAGTAGTAATAATGATGATACTTTTTTATTATTATTAATTATATAATTGTTATAATGAAAATAATAATGATATTTTGAAAAGATACATGGGTCTAAAAAACAAAAACAAATCAACAACTTATCTTGATCACGCAAGAAAACAGTAATTTCATGCATTTTAAAATTTATTTGTTTCAGGGTCCTGCTGTTTTCCTGCAGCATGCACTTGTGGAACTCTCTCTTCACACACTGTTCAAGAAAGGCTATACTCCTTTGTATACACCTTTCTTCATGAGAAAAGAAGTAATGCATGAAGTTGCACAGCTATCACAGTTTGATGAAGAATTGTATAAAGTGATAGGAAAAGGACAAGATAAGCCAAACAGCAAAGAAATAGATGAAAAGTATTTAATTGCCACCTCAGAACAGCCTATTGCTGCATTCCATCGAAATGAGTGGATGTCTGAACAAGATTTACCAATTCGCTATGCAGGTGTTTCCACATGTTTCCGTCAAGAAGTTGGTGCTCATGGAAGAGACACTCGTGGAATATTCCGTGTACATCAATTTGAGAAGGTAATTTGATTGTTTGTGGAGTAAAATCTTAAAGAAGGGTGCCTCAATCAAGTTTGTATTAGGGTTCTGTGTTGCCCACTAGAAAGAACAATGGCAGTTAATTAGTGTGCTGTAGCAACAATAGCTCTTTGTTTATTTTGCACTTCATTAAAAATACAAAAAATATTATTTCATTATTTTCTCTGATGATGATGCTACAGGACAAAAGTTTTATATCATATATGAGAGTTCTACCTGATTGAGAAACTATTGAATTGCATGTAATTCATAACAGAGATAATGATATACATTTGCATTCATTCATAAATCAATTCCATCAGATTGAATTGTAATATTGAAATTTGCAGTGCAGTATCATTGATATTTTGCTACAGTTCTTCACTTTGATATCAGATATCAATTAACTGCTATTCAGATTTCAGATCTTATGTTAATAGCAAATTTTAAGAAGTTGCTTTGCAGCCTTCTGGATACTATTGTTGTCTTACAATTTGAACTTCTTAAGAATTATATATACTAACTGTTCCTGTCCAAACATTGTGCATTTTGTAAATCATAATTTTAAAAGTGAAAATAGCTTCCTACGGGATCCTAAATTCAAATGGCCAAATTGTGAAATGTTTGTGACCTCATAATACGCATTATATTACGGTAATGTGCATAAGTATACTTTCTATTATTGCTAAGTGTTGAGATCAAATTTCACACAAAATGAAATATTTACTTCAATTTTCTTGTGGACTATTATTTCTATCTAATAATTGTATTGAATTTTATATAGATTTCAAGTGTCTGCTCATGTCAGACCCCCCATGCTAGAGTAGATGTCTCTAGAAGAGTTGAATTTCCAAAAATATAATAGAAAGAGAGAATATGTCTCATTTAGTAGAATACTGCTCAAGAAATGTAACTTGGACCCTCTATGTCTATGTTCCAAACCTACCCCCCCCCCTCAGCCCCATATCTTTGCCCCCTCTTTTTCCCTACAAATTCCCCTCATTTTCTCTCATGATCCTCCACTTGTCCTTTGGATTTTCCCCCTTGTGCTCCACACATGTTTATCACCAAAAGATTGTACTTTTTAAATCGAAATTGAAAATAGATTTGCCCTGGTACTCACCTTCATACATTTATGACAATCTGCTCCAGAATGCATGTACCCTCTAAAAATATGAGAGAACATTCAAAGAGGTGTCGTTTTGTAATTATAACAGGAGACACAACTCCTGATTTTTAAGTACCAAGAACATACCATTTCAGAGGTACACAAGTTATACCCTAAACAGCAGCAGCACACTTAAGAATTTTGTGTTGATAATTTCTTATAAATTATACAAACTAATGCTGTTCCGTAGCATATGATTTATTTATGAATAGGAGATAATGTTGATCCTGATAGAAGAACTTTTAATTAAAAAATTATTCAATAACATGACTTGTTTCTGATTTAAGTACATACAATGGCCAATAAATTTCTATTGTGCACACTCTTTAAGAAAGATTTCTAGGAGTTTTAATTTTTTCGACAAATAAATCCCAATATGCAGTAGGTTGTGTAAGTCATGGTGTGGTGGACACATTTACAAGTCAACTGTACTTGTTTACTTAACTCCTTGGATTCTTTTTTTATTCATTGCAGAGAATTCAAGTATATACTACTTTGACTTACATGTACAGTCGGACCTCCATATATTGAGTCTGACTGTTCCTTCAGTAATAATCAATAATAGAAACTTTGATATACAGAAATAATTATGAAATTTTAGCAAATGCTATTAAAACAATTTTGGAAAAATTGGGTAAAACAAAAGATTAAATAATTAATAATTCGCCTCACAGATTATTATTCATCCCTGACTTGAAATTAGTATTGCTTTTTCTGTAACATTAAGAGATTTTCGTTTCAATCATTCTTAACAATGAAAGCACATAACAGCAAACTGAACCTGTGCTGAAATTATGAACTAACATTGTTGGGCAGTGTCATAGGCAAAGAGACATGTGATTGAGCTTCAGATCGCTTTGAAGAACACATTCCCATGACTTCTGAAAACTTCCCCATTGGGAGAGATAGCAGGTGTGTGTTACTTTCCTGAGAAAGCTGGGAACTGGATGTAAAAAGATTTCAAACATTTATTCAGATAAGCAAATGTTCAGAAGGAAGTTCTATTTTCTGCAGTAGTAATACTCTCCTTCGAAATAAAACAATACTATAGTTGTTGAAACATAATTTATAGTATGTCCATTTTTATTACACAGAAGAAAATAATCAAGTCAGAAAATGAGTCATCAATCAGTTCAATATAAACAAATAATTTTTGATATATAGAAACGTTTGTAAACTGAATTTTCAAGGGACAGGAAAAATATTCGATTTACTGTGAATTTCAATGTATAGAAGTTCGATATATGGACGTCTGACTCTGTTTAGTAACTTGTAAAACTTATCATAGTGTGTGATTTTCCTAGGTTGAACAGTTCTGTATTACTTCTCCATTTGATGATGCATCATGGAAAATGATGGATGAGATGATTGCCAATGCAGAGGAATTCTGTCAAGCATTGGGCATTCCTTATCGGATTGTCAACATTGTGTCAGGTGCATTGAATCATGCTGCTGCTAAGAAATTAGATTTGGAAGCTTGGTTTCCTGGATCAGGTATGATTAAATGCTAACATGGTCAGCTTGTTATATCCAAAAGAATAATATTCTGTTAAATCCTGTGTGATGTGCCAGATTTAGTTTTCAAATCATGTGTTCAGGTTAAAGAATGCTTATATAATTCTGTAGAGAATGGCACATGAATAATGAATTACTCTGACCAGTGGTGGCTGCTCCTTAACCCTTCCGCGTGGGATGCCGTGTCCTGAACGCACCAGTCCTTTCACTTCTATTTCGGGGTGCCGTGGCAGGTACGCGAAGGGCCTTTTCCTTCTGTCGCGGGTTGACGTGTAAGAACGCTTTTAGGTTCTTTCATATGCGGTTTGCCGTGTCCAACACGGAAAGTTTGTTTAGTTCTATTACAACCGTTGTTGCTCGCGCTTCGTTTATACAGTGTTATCGCTAGTACCCAAATATTCAGAAGCTAGCCCTTGAAGACAGTTTTAATAATATTTTGTTATATTATTAATACTTTTAAGTGTGTAAATCGTTTAATTTTGTGCTCGTACACAGTGGGCCCGAGGTGTAGAATGTCCAATCAAATTGTTTTGTCAGATGCAGCAATTGAGGAAGAGCTTTTGTTAGAGAGTGACGATGACTCCAGTGATAAAGACAGTTCTAGTGATTCCGATGCTGTGTTCGAAGACGAAGACAATTTGGATGTGACGTGATACCAGCACTAATCAAATGTCAAATGTGTTTACGTGGGGAGACATAAACAATTATTCTGGCAAGAAAGAAACATTTATAAGTGAACATGGACCACAAAATGAAGCTCGATTTACAGTTAATATTTTATCGTTATTCAAGTTGTTTTTTGATGCAGAATTAATCTCAATGATTGCGTGTGAAACGAATCGTTACGCTGAACAGTTCATGGTAAATCGAGGAATGCTTTTTCCATTTCATTCAAGAGTGAGAGAATGGCAACCTGTAAGCATTGATGAAATATATGTTGTCATTGCTATGTTTATGCTAATGGGAATTGTACAAAAGCCAACAATTCGATCCATCGTAAGAACTCCATCGTAAGTACTCCTATATTTTCATCGGTAATGTCATTGGACCGTTTGGAATCGATTTGTAGGTTTCTGCATTTTGTTGACAACAATAAAAGAAGCTCTTTTGAAGGACCGAAAAA